CACGTAAACAGTGGCCAGGCGATTTGCCTCAACCTCCCACCCCGCCATAAATGTCTCCCCCTTACTCTCACAGATATTGTGGAGCACACAGCAAGCAGCAATAACAATGGGGATATTGGTTTTGCTGAGATCTATCCAAGTCAGTATGCTACGCCAGCACGCTTCTAAACATCCAAATGCACATTCCACCACCATTCGGCACTTGCTCAGCCTGTAGTTGAACAGGTCCTGACTACTGTCCAGGCTGCCTGTGTACGGCTTCATGAGCCATGGCATTAAGGGGTAGGCTGGGTCCCCAAGGATAACGATAGGCATTTCAACATCCCCAACGGTTATTTTCTGGTCCGGGAAGAAAGTCCCTTCCTCCAGCTTTCGAAGCAGACCAGAGTGCCTGAAGACGTGAGCATCATGTACCTTTCCCGGCCATCCCACGTTGGTGAAACGTCCCTTGTGATCCACCAGGGCTCGCAGCAGCATTGAAAAGTACCCCTTGCGGTTTATGTACTCGGTGGCTTGGTGCTCCGGTGACAAGACAGGGATATGGGTTCCGTCTATCGCCCCACCACAGTTTGGGAATCCCATTGCAGCAAAGCCATCCACTATGACCTGCACGTTTCCCAGAGTCACTACCCTTGATATCAGCAGGTCTTTGACTGCATTGGCAACTTGGATCACAGCAGCCCCCACTGTAGATTTGACCACTCCAAATTGATTCCCGACTGACCGGTAGCTGTCTGGCATTGCAAGCTTCCACAGGGCTATCGCCACTCGCTTCTCAACTGTGAGGGCTGCTCTCATCCTGGTATTCTGGTGCTTCAGGGCAGGGGAAAGCAAGTCACGAAGTTCCAGGAAAGTGCCCTTACGCACGCGAAAGTTTCACAGCCACTGGGAATCGTCCCACACCTGCAACGCTATGCAGTCCCACCAGTCTGTGCTTGTTTCCTGGGCCCAGAATTGGCGTTCCACAGCATGAACCTGCCCCAGTAACACCATGATTTGCACATTGCTGGGGCCTGTACTTTGTGAGAGGTCTATGTCCATGTCAATTTCCTCATCACTCTCGTCGCCGCGCTGCAATCGCCTCATCGGCTGGTCCTGGTTTTGCTTTGGCATGTTCTGGCTCTGCATATACTCCAGAACAATGCGCGTGGTGTTCATAGTGCTCATAATTGCCGCGGTGATCTGAGCGGGCTCCATGATCCCAGTGCTATGGCGTCTGGTCTGAACAAAGGCACGAAACTGACGGAGGGAGGGAGGGGCGACTGATGACATGGCGTACAGGTACAGGGAATTAAAATAAACAAAGGTGGCTGTGGCAGAAGATACTGTACTACGACTGCTAGCCATCATCGTCAAGATGGTTCAATAGGACTGCCGGCAGGACTGAGTCTCCAGGAGACAAAGCATGTCTGCCCAGGTGCCTCTGATCGAACTGGAATACGACGATGACGGATACCAGTCGTAATACATAATCTACTGCCAAAAGGCAATTAGCTGCTGCTGTGTAGCAATGCAGCCCCACGTCTGCCAGCACCTAGATGACATATGGTGACGGTGAGCTGAGCTGAGCGGGCTCCATACTTGCTGTGGTATGTTGTCTGCACAGGTAACCCAGGTAAAAAGGCGTGAATCGATTGTCTGCCATTGCTCTGAAGGAGGAGGAGGAGCCTGACAACATGTACCCAGAACCCTCCGCGACACTGTTTTGCATCATCAGGCATTGGGATCTCAACCCAGAATTCCAATGGGCGGCGGAGACTGCAGGAACTGTGGGATAGCTACCCACAGTGCAACGCTCCGGAAGTCAACGCTAGCCTCGGTACTGTGGACGCGGTCCGCCGACTTCATGCACTTAGATCATTTTATGTGGGGACACACACAATCGACTGTATAAAACCGGCTTCTATAAATTTGACCTAATTTCGTAGTGTAGACATACCCTATGCCTACCTTGTAGAAGGCTGAATAGGGTCTGGGGACATGCTCAGTGCAGTTGTTATGTAGGAGCTTCGTAGAGCAGAGAATGTTCAGTGCAAATGCAATGTTCAGGTATTTTGTCAGCAAACCTCTAAAAAGCTTTATTAAATCTGTGCAAATGTTTATTTTAAAAGTCTTATCATTTAGCCAGATTTGGCTAGCTACTAAAGAAAATAAAAGCAGCTATCTCCATGGCACTTAGGACTAACACTCTGCCAAATTTATAGTTTCTGTTGAAAAGCATGGAGATGCTAAAGCTCTTCAAAGAGATGGTTGGAAAAAGAAGTGTTAACATTGACACCAGGGAAAAATAGGCTTGCAAATCTCATAAGCAGCTGAAAAGATTTGCCAAAACAAACCAATAAAATCAGCTGAAGCAGAGAACAAGCATGGAAAATATCAGCCAAAATGGTTACAGCTTGGCTAACTTATAATCAATTGGAAATAAGGGCTTATGATGCAAAGTGTCAGGTAAACTTAACTATAGGCTTTGCTATCAACTCTCAACTCCACCTTGTAATATGAACTGTGCACATAACATACCTTTGCAATGAACTGCTATAACACCTTCAGCATTTTCACAAATATTTAGGAATGTTTTGACTATAGTATCACTAGGTATGCTTCCATCAGCAAAGAAGAGGTCATAATGCTCAAAACCAGCATCTGCAAATCGTTTGGCATCATACATTTTTCTGTTAAGACGTATTATGGTAGTAACCTTGTGTCTTCTGAAATATGGGAAATAGGCCTCAGGAGCATGGTGGGGATAACCTGTAGGTAGAAACAAAGGAACTAGTCATGAAAACTGCACATCCAAATGAAAAAACAAACAACATGTAAAATACCTTATTTTAAAGTTATGTCCAATAGAAAAATTCCATTTTCAGTCAGTGAATTTTTAAACAGTCTAATTCAAATAGAGCTAAAGGAAGTCTTGGGCTTTTTTATCGCCAAGTGTTCCTCCTCCCCACCCCACCCCGCAAAAAGCTAAGAAAAACATACCATTGGAGGAACAATTTTTTTAAAAATGATAAAGTTGCTGTTACTCATAAGAATCAATCAAATACATAGTAGTAGCATATGGGTTTGTGTCCCCAAAGCATACCATTTTCAGTTTTACTTCTTGAATGAGGTCCACTGAAGGCAATGAATTTGTTTGGTATTATCCAGTTAAAATCCCCATTTTCTGCTTTCTGTCAAGAGAAAATGCATGATTTACCATTATCCCTATATTTCAGGAGTGGGCAAACTACAGCCCGCAGGCCACATCCAGCCTGCCAGCCGATTTAATCCTCGAGTTCCCGCTGGGGAGTGGGCTCTGGGGCTTCCCCACTCCTGCCGGGGAGATCAGTGGCCACTCCACGCATGCCTGCTGTGGATCCCGGAAGCAGCAGCATGTCCCCTCTCCAGCTTCTATGTTTAGGAGCAGCCCGGGGCCTCCACATGCTACCCCCACAGATCCCATTGGCCAGGAACTGCGGTCAATTGGAGCTGTGGAGGCGGCACCTGTGAACAGGGCAGCACGCAGAGCCGCCTGGCCGTGCCCCCGTGTAGGACCCAGAAGGGGGACGTGCCGCTGCTTCCGGGAGCTGCTTGAGGTAAGTGCAACCTGGAGCCTGCACCCCTCAAGCCCCACCACGCCCCAATCCCCTGCCCCAGCCCTGATCGCTCTCTCACCCTCTGAACCCCTAGATCCCAGTCCAGAGCACTCTCCTGCACCCCAAAACCCTCATCCCCAACCCCACCCCAGAGCCTGCACCCCCAGCTCGAGCCCTCACCCCCCAATACCCTGCCCCAGCCCAGAGCACCCTCCTGCTCCCTGAACCCCTCATTTCTGACCTCACCCCACAGCCCACACCCCCAGCCAGAGCCCTCACTCCCTCCTGCACCCCAACCCCAATTTCCATGAGCATTCATGGCCCGCCATACATTTTCCATACCCAGATGTGGCCCTTGGGCCAAAATGTTTGCCCACCCCTGCTATATTTGCTTCAAAAGTACAAAGCCAAATACAAGCCCTGTCAGTGTAAGCACCTTTCTAGTCTGCCCTTTTCTTCATCAATAAAATGCCAAATGCTCTCAACCTCTCCAGCGTTTCTTTCTAAAACAAACTTCAAGTGATGCAATTAAATCCCCCCCAAATAGAGCCACACTTGGATTTTTTTTTTAAGCTTTTGTAAATTGTCCCATTTCACCTTTATCTACTATATTAGTAATTACTTCATGCAACTCCAACAAGTCCTGAGTTTTCTGTATAGATGCCGTGCTGTTTTGCCTTTAAGAGAGTATATTTATCCAAGTCTTGTAGTACTTTAGCTGTACAGTTACACACAAGGACTTTCCCATAAACTGAGGTGAATTTCATGGGTTTGGAATTCCCAAGATCAATTATTACTTTTTTTAAAGGGATAATGGTGCTGCACTTCTATCATCTTTCTATTACTTCCCACGTAAGTTTCTTTTAAATGAATGCCAACTGGTCTAGTGATTAGCTATACTTGAATTTGTTCAAGTTGCTCATTAACTTCTCCAAGAGCAGATCCTGCCTATGAGAAGTGACGTTGGAACTGAAGTTTATCATCATCCTACAATGGATAAAAATCAGATGTGGAAAAAAAAAGTATCTTTAACTAACTACCTCTTTCCAGATACCTTAACTCCACTTTACTTCCTATGCTCTTTCATCTCTTGAGCCTACAGTCACAAATGCAGCCTTCTAACTCCCCCGTGTTTAAACTTAAATTACCTATCTTGCTTTCTTAGATCCTTAAATAAAGATGTATGGTAATAGCTCTTTTAAAGGCAGAAATGGAACTGACAGCAACAAAAGCAACAGTGCATATCACAAAAAACCTGTCTTAGCATTTATAGTAACACTACCACCATCTAGTGCTTATAATCCATCAGTAGATCTCAACACACTTTAGCATCTCAAAAGAACATCAATATCATTATTCCTATTTTAAAAATGGGGTAACTGAGGCACAGAGGGGAATAACTTGCCTCAGGTAACCCAGCAGGACAGGAATAGACCCCAGGTTTTCTAAGTCACGGTTCAGTGTTTATCCCCAGGCTACACGCTTACCTCATAATGCTCATATTCATTTACATCAAAAGCACTGAAATCCAGGAAGCCATATCGCAAAGCCTAAAATCCACAATACAACTTTTAACAAAAAGAACCTTCATCAAAAGACAAAATGCATCACCATTTTAAATTTCTGTATACCCCTTATACTGGACTCTCAAGGTTCCTTTCAGTCCTATGATTCTGTGATCTATTTTTCACCACTGTGCCAGAGTAACATTTCCTCATTATACTAACTCCATTAATTGGACAGAACTCAATTGAATTCATAAACATTTTAACACTTGTGAAAATGTTGGAGTTGTGGAAAATATTTAGCATTCAGTCTTGGTCCAAAACAAATCCCTCCATTCCTGTATCCATGTTATATATACACATCAATGCAATTAAGGATAAATAAGCAAGCCCACTCTTTTCTGATTTCACTTAAAAATAAAACCAGAACCAGGCCACAGAATCATTCATGGCAACAAGTCTCAGAACCCCAGTCAACTAATTCAGGTTGACCAGGCTTGTTCTATGGACTAAAAATAGCAATGCAGACATTCCTGCTGGGGTTGCATCTTGCCCTGCAGGGCCCTAAATAAAATCCCTCTGACAGGTTTCAGAACCCGAGCGGGAATACCTATATTGCTATTTTTAGCCCTATACCACGAGCCCGAGTCAGCTGACCAGGGTTCTGAGGATCGCTGCCACACCTTCTTCTCCCTGCCCCTCCAGTGTAGATATATGCAGAGTTGCAATAAACCCTTGGATGACTAAATTAGTGGTGCAGAAGGAATGAAGGGGCCTGGCAACCAGTTAACTGATTCAAGTATTTTGTCTTTCAAGCTCAGAAAGACATGTTGAAATAATAAGGCCACGGAGTAATGCAGGCTCCTTCCTACAGTCATCATTAAGTTACACACAACCCCTTTATAATATTTACTATGCTGACTGTTTGGAAGACCAGTCATGGAGGGCTGTTTGGTCCAACAACTTACCAATTTCCACATTAATATCAGGATGTTAGAGGTAAAATGACTGGCCTGAACAGCTTTGCCCATCTGACTCCATGGCTCCTGCTAAGATTTTCCCTAGGTAACTCCCATCCAGGGAAGAACTTGCTCTATATTAGGGTGCCAGACCCCACCTAGACATGCTCATTGGATTCCCCAGATATCAGTCACAGGAGCTCAATTACTATACAAGATGTATAGACTAGGCAGAGTCAGACACATTGCTGTGACGAAGGTCTAATAATTAGGCCCTTAGTTTCATGAACAAATTTTGGCTGTATTATAATTAGCTGACAAACATATAACAAAAAAAAATATTTTTCTTACCTTATTTATTGCATGAAAGCTGTCAAGCAATGTTAGATGAAAACTGCAAGTACCAAATGAAGCATCCCTATAACACAAACATGTGAAATCAATTTTGACAGCTGACAGCATTTCTAGTTTCATAAGCAAAACCGCATGAGTTCCCTCATGCAGATCCGACTAAATGAATTAAAATGTTATTTTCTCAAGAGCCAGCAGTAAAAAGATTTGATTATTAGTTACTTTAAAATACTCTACTGTTTTCCAATCTTGAAGTTTATTGATTTAAGTTTTAACTTATTTTTTATTGCTTTACTGGTATCTTATGTTAAAACACTTAGATGATCCAACATTAAGTTTATTTCAGCCACCTTTTTTTCAACAGAACTGCCACTTTCAGTTTTTGTTGGGAATAAAAGACTTTGGCAAAGTTTAGTGAATTTGGACAACACCACTTCCTGAAAGATGTTTATCTTGTTTGAAAATAAAATTGTAGAAAATAGTTTGTATACTTCGATTCCTTGTATACCGTAAGAATTTTGGAATCTGACAAAAACACTGCACATGTGAATGGATGAGACTCAAATTACTTCTAACACCAACATTCCCTATTTAAGTAATTACATATATGACAGTTTAACTTTTCTAACCAAAAGATTAAAGAAATAGCTATAGTAATATTTAAAAGAGAATTTTCCTATACTTGGAGCTTTAAAATATTTAGCTGGAGTATGCTTAAAAATAACAGTCTGGTTTTCATTATAGCTCTTTTTCCTGCCATTCTTCTTAAATCATCTTAAGGTAGGAATAGAATGTTCTTGGTACTATGTCAGTTATTGAGAAAGAAATGACTCAATGAAACTGATGAAACCACGAACTTAGAACTGATCTAAGGTAGGAAAACCCTATTCCCTATTGTAATTAAAAAAAAAAAAAGTCTCTGAATTTCAGGATTATATATTTTAGTGGAATAACTGTTGGGTTTAAAACATTTTAGAAAGCCAGCAATTATACTGTCAATGGCAATTTATAGTGGCACACAACACTTCCTCCCCTCTCTCCTCCATTTCTTGCCAGAGCATGGAAAGAAGCACTTTAAATTGTCCACTTCATGCTGCACTATGGGATTACATATTTGGAGTGTCACTGATTTAAAGTCTCTCTTCACCCTAGCACTCTCTATGGTCATGTCTATCCCTCATTGTTGCTACAGATTTATCACCCACTACTCTCACCAGCAACTGTGCTGTTTGAGGCATTAGAGTAAAGTAGTGTCTGGTTTAGGGTTTTTTTTAAATGTGTAACAAGAAACACTGTCATAATGTTCTGACTAAAAATGACAAAAAAGTGAGAATTTCAGAGATCTGTCTGCATCTACTCTCTCTGCACTCTCCCCTCCTCTAATGAGTTAGTGTGAAAGGGGGAGGAAGGGGAAAGGGAAGTAATAGAAAGAAAAGGAACTCATTCAGGAAACTGACAATAGCATACAGAGAATTTCTCTAAGACTTTAATATAAATTCCTCTATTATGAAAGACCACAAGTAACTATTATCTGATTGCAAAAAGCAATTCCTCTCTCACTGGCTAATGAATAGTCAGCATGGACATAATCTAAAAACAACAGGACCCTAAAGCACCATCTCAACTCATAATTCTCTTCAGTGGCTTCCTCCTCCTAGTTGCATCAGGCTTGAAAACCATGGGCAAAATCCTGTTCCCACAGAGTTCAGTGGGAGTTTTGTCTTTACTTTAATGGGGCCTGGATTTCATCCTGTATCTTCATTCCAAAGGCTGTACACAGCTATGCTGCTGCCAGAACTCACCTCCTCTCATTCCCCCTCATGTCCTCCTCATTCCTTTCTCCCTAAATGATCTCTTTAGTCTCAAACATTATGCTTCTCATCATACCACCTTTACCCTTGTGGAAGGTCCCCTCTTGCATGATAAACAACCTCACAATCCTCCAAATATCTTTGCAGCTTAGGTTATAAGCTTTTTGGGGCAAGGTCCATTTTTGTCATACACGTGTGTGTACCTAATACCATGGGACCACGGTTAAGGCCTCTAGGTACTACTGCAATATAAACAAACAATAAAAGTCAGTGGTGTGAATTAACTCATTTTTCCAATCACTAAACTCTGTTTAGATGTTCTAAATAAGGTATTAGAATAGAGAGATTTAAAAAAAATATATATTAAAATAAATTCTAAAAAAAGAACATGATCAACTTCCCTTGAAATATAATACATTACCATTTGTCTACTGCAATAGCTTCTTTTCTATGCGCTCATCCCCAGCACAGTCTGTTTTTCACTGTCATCCAATTTAGATTGGAAGCACCTCAGACCAAGGACCTGGTCTTTCTATAGGGCTTTAAGTCACTATATGTATCTGTAGCACTATGTAACTATAGTAAAACCTTAGGTGACCAGAGGATGAGACCAAAAAGAGGATTAGGTGGCCCCTTCTACAAGTTTCTCTGCAATACTAATCACAACTGACATCACCAATCTTCTTGACAGCCTCTGATGCATGGAGGATTCAATAGGTATGAAGGCTGAACGCCTCTCAATCCCAGTGCACATTGACATAGCTTGGAGAACCTTGCATTGTTCCACTGCCTGTGTAAGACATATTTTATGGATAAATAATGTCACTATTCAATGTCACCAAGTCTATCGAACAACTTTCATAAACACTGAATTTACTCTATGCACTCTAAAAAGTTACTCCCAGAAATGGATGCATGATCTGCTGGGAGGGCAAAAACCACAGTAAAAAAAAAGGGTGGGGAGGAGAGAGAGAAGAGTTTGGTAGAGAGTTATTCCTCAAGAAGAGTCCTATTACAGCCATTTATTAGAACTCTGAAAACAGGCAAAAACACCTCCCAAAGGCCTACTACTGTTGATAAGGGAAAGGAAGCATGCCAGAAAACCAAGACATTACAAAAAATCTTGATGCTCCCAAGAAAGGGAAAAAGACATGAGACAGTTGCTCTGATAAGAAATACTCACTTGCTTTTAGAGTCAGGAGTGAATGGATCACACTATAAAACTACATGTCTAGATAGTAAACTGGAGTTGTTTGGTTCTCCCTTTAACTTCCTGCATTTTATGAAAGCCTGTTTGATTATTGGATAGTTTTATCTAACTTTTGAAAGCCTTACTGTTTTAGTTCTTAGGAGAACTTTACAAAATCGTTCATGGTCAGGACCTATCAACCTTGTTTATCTACTGGATAAAAACAGAGTGGCAACAAGAAGTCTGTAGTCTGGAATACCTAAAATTATATCCCCTCAGAGGTGAAGCAACCTTTTTAATTTTTATTTATTTATTTTTAGACGTTTCCTCATTGGTAAAAATTTCATTTTACACAAAAAAGTACTACATAATAAAGCATTTATTTTAGGGGAGTGTGTTCAGCAAGTGACAGAAAAGATGTGTCAAAATTATTGCAGTCACCACAAAGTATTTATATAAATATTTTAATATGAGTTTAAGAGAATTCAGACTGGGTGACTAATGGTATTAATTTAGAATTCATTACCATTAACTGTTCCAATCTCTCTTTTTAGTGTGAATTCAAAGGGGAAAAAAGCTAATGAAAGTAAATAGTTATGTAAGCTTCCTCATATACTGTACGTTTGCCAGCACACTTCAGTACTGACCTGCAATATCCCTGTCACTCCACTATCTGACCTTATTTGGCAGTCACTGATGAAAACATGTTGAGATGTGCAGCAGCCATAGGCAAGCGACCCAAACTCAGTGCCTCGGAACACCGTTCAGAGATCATGACACACAGAATTCTAACATTTTTATATTTACCTGAAAGGAAGATAAGATACGTTTCCAGCCAATAAGAGCCTGTACACATCTTCGGGTGATTCTCTTAAGTATATTATCTATTTTTGGAAGAAGGAAAGAAAATATTTTTAATGGTAACTTTAAGCTACCTATTAATAACTTTCAATGTTTATTGTAAAAATATTAAACTAAATGCCATAAAAAATACCATATGCTTGATAACGTCTTTTTCCTATAAGCACAGCATCAAGAATAAAAGAATGCAAGCAAACAATTATGCGATAGACAGAAGCAAAGCATATATTATATAACATACTGGCCATTATCAATGTAAGAGTATGAATCATAGCATCCACTGTATAGACATCAGGATTTGTGTTGGGTTTCAGATCCCAGCGAAAGTGCTTTTGTGACACTATTGTACTAAATATACAACATTTTTGCTGTAATTCTCTGTAACATATTCTTCATGGACAATTTTGTACAAACTTTAAAATGATTAAAATTTAAAAGAAATGTAAGAGAACATAAAACCTCTAGGGCACCAGCAAAGCAATAAAGCGAAGCTGCTATACAGTAATAAGGGGGAATGTTGATCCTTCTAACGTTGGAGCTGTAGGGGATCACAGTATTCCAAATCTTGCATCGCCTTCACTGCACAACCTGAACAAACACTAGGTTAAGCAGTGTCCATTAATTAAATCCAGATGCCACCAAAAAAAAAGAAGAGTATAGCAGCCTAAAATGTAATAGAAGGCAAGAAACCCCAAGAACATAATGCAGGCAAAATATATCTAGTATTAATTACTGAAAACATTTTACTGTTAAAAGAAATCAGGAAAGGATGCCAGCTTCACAAAACCCCAGTTCATTACAGATTATGTCTAAAAAGCTGTCTGCACCAGGAGATCAATCCCTAGCTGCCAGGCACTGCAGCAATGGTTTCTCTTGAACCAGTACTATAAATTGTTTTTTTATCAGTCATCCTTTCTGCGACTGTGCTGAAAACAATTTTGCCCTATTTATACTAGCCATTTTCAGCACTGGTTAAAGGGCACCTATTGTTGACAGGAGTTGTCAGCAATGGGTCAGTTTCCAACTGTAAGATGGGATCAGAGAGTTTACAGTAGTCCTTGTAGATGGACATTTGCCATCTCTCATTAGAACCACTATGTTATTAAATATAAAGAACACTGTACTTTACTGAAGTATAAATCTTAAATGTTTAAATTGTTGAGATCATGTTTTAACATTTTAAATTACTTCCTAAGTCTTTGTTTTTTAATTTGCACAATTGACAAACATTAAACTAAGTACTTTAAAATCATTCAAATTAGACAAATTCACATTTCCTTTACTAACAGCCACTTTTCCCAAAATTTCTTGCCAACAGTATTTTTAGTTTGTTTTTAAGACAGAAATAAAGTAAAAAAGTATCTACTTAAAATTTTCCCTCACTGTTTAAGACTTTTTCTAGGCATATTTTCTCTCTCTCTCTCTTTTTTTATTTTTTTAAAGTTGGCATTGCCTTGTAATTACAGTTACACAGCTGTAAAGCCAAATCTGAAGTTTAACAAAATCATGGGTGAGGGGAACCATGTTGGTAATAAAGCTGGAAACATTTCCAAAAATAACATAACATAAAATGACATAACATAAAATAAAGTGTTGACTTTTACTGTTTTTTCTCTGGCAAGGAGAATAAAGAGGAAAATATTTAACATTGCTGGTAGCAGAATGAAACTAAAATAAAACTATTTTTTAAATTTTAGCTTACTTTTGGTCATTTAAATACTCTGAATACCTCCAAAAAATTACTTTCTTTTACTCAAACAAACATCCAGGGACAAAGAGACTAAAATTAAGTACAAAATATTGTTCAAGTACTATTCCTCAGATGTCCATCCAATTAGCATTCCCAGGATGATGTAATTTAACACACAATTATCAATTAAATGGTTTGGATGTATAGACTGTATTCCAAGAATAGTCAAGCTTGTTTTGATAAAAGGGACACGACACATCCAGCAGCACTACAATGCAGGTTATTCTCAACCTTTAACATCGCGCCAAAAGCTGCACACAGCACTCCACAATCCATCACCTGTTCTAGGAAAACAAGATTCCCTTCCCCACAGAACAAGAATAGCAACTAGAAGTGCAAGCAAACAGTAAGGGCCTACACTAGTTCCTAGTCTACACTAAAAAAGTAGAAATGCAGCTTATACCATCTATCCTCCTTGTGTACATGCAGCTTATACTGGCAAAAGAGTACATTTGCCCAAATGAAATAAACTATACTGCCCAAAGCACTTTTTTGCCAGTATAGAAGTGTTATTTAAAAAACAAACAAACAACAAAAATCACACCCTTAAACAACATTGTTATACTGGCAAAAGTTTTAAACGGAGACCTGATCTGAGCAGTAAAATGGTTATAAAACGATTTTAAACACAAACACACAATCTTAACGCTCAGCATATAGACAAGGACAGTTGTTTTTAAAATTATGTCAGTGAATAGGACTTTCAGCACAGCAGTCCTTAACTACACTTACGGCTGACATGTCTAATATTTGCACACACGTACACGATAACAGGATGTCATCTTCCAGGGTAGACAAGACCTAAAGAGTGAATCAGTGTGGAACACAAGTCACTGCAGAAGGAAGCTTCACCGAAGAGTTGAGTTTTTCAGAACTTGTGCAGATAGGGAATGATCTTGATGAACTTCAGGAGGGAGAATGTTCTAGATCAGTGGTCACCAACCCATAGATTGCGATTGACTGGTTGATCCTGGAGCCTCTACCAGTTGATTGTGATCTCTGGCCGCTAAAAGTCTGGCAGCACAGAAGGGCTAAGGCAGGCTCCCTGCCTGCCCTGGTCCCACACCGCTCCCAGAAGCGGCCAGCACACTCCCGCAGCCCTGGAGGGGGGAGATGATGGACAGGGACACAGGTCTCCACACACGATGCTCCTACTTGCAAGTACCGCCCCTGCAGCTCCCACTGGCTGGGAACGGGGAACTGTAGCCATTGGGAGCTGTGGGGTCCATGCTTGCAGGCAGGAGCAGCATGCAGAGCCAAGTGCCCTCCACCAGGGGCTGCAGGGGAGTGCTGGCCGCTTCTGGGAGCAGTTTTGGGCAGGGGCAGGCAGGGAGCCTGCCTTACCCCTGCTATACCAGCGACCAGAAGCCGCCCGAGGTAAGTGTTGCCCAGGAGGAGCCCACAACCCATACCCCCTCCTGCACCCTGAACCCCCTTCCACACCCCAACCACACACCCCAGCTCTGAACCCCCTCCCGGAGCCAGCACCCCATACCCCCTCCTGTACCCCAATACTCTGCCCCAGCCTGGAGCCTCCTCTTGCACCCAAACTCCCTCCCAGAGCCCATGCCCCCCGCACCCCAACCCCTGCCCCAGGCTCAGCCCAGAGCCCCCTCCCACACACTCCAAACCCCTGAGCCCCAGCCCTGAGCCTGCACCCCCTCCCAAACCCTAACCCCAGCCCGGTGAAAATGAGGGAGGATGGGGGATGGAGTGAGCAGGATGGGACCTCAGGGAAGGGGCAGGGGAGATCCTGGGTTGCACTTAAATTCAAAAAGTGATCTTGTATGTACAAAGATTAGAAACCACTGTTCTAGATATAAGAGATGACACATAAGAAATTGCAAAGACAAGTGCTGATGAAGGAGTTACATGGTCCTATCAATAAAAAGTGGCTTGCATAGAACTTGGGTACAGGATATGGTGAGTAGGTGTGATGTTATGGGGTGCTTTAGAGGACATGAAGAGAGGCTCAGCCTTTACAATAGCGGACCATGTGCCAAATCCAGACCGCCAGATGTTTTTGAACGGACCCCCAAATTTTTATTTACTTATTTTTTATTCTTATTAGTTTATCTGGAGTCTGGACATTGACTATACCTTGACAAAAAACAATTACCTCTGCTTTACATCATAGATGGAAGGCTACGAAGAGATTCTATACATGTTTTAAAAAAAAAAAATCTCTGCAGTTGCACAGTGGAGGAGGTACAGACTGGTGCCTTGCCAGTGCAGATTTTAACTAATGGTCAAATTACAGAAATACTGTCGAACAAGCAGCAATGAGATTTGATGACGACGACTAGATGGGAGGGAAGGGAGAGTACAGACAAAGATGATGCTGAACTTATTGTGAGCTTGGAGTACAGGTAGGATGGTCTGTAAACAGTGACAAAGGAAGGGGAAGAGGAAGGGTTTTGACACACTAAATTTAAGATGGCAAGGGAACATTCAAGAGAAAATCTTGGCCACACAGGCAAACATGCAAGACTAAACCAGAGGATGAAAGGTGCAAGTAGCAGAATAGGTTTGTGAATCATTGTCACAGAGTGGTTGATTGAATCTATGGGAGTAAGCACAGGGTAGAGGAAGCAGAGGAGAAGACCGAAGTATGCTGACAACAAGAGAGGATGGGGTGGGGTGGGGTGGGGTGGGGTGGGATGGGGGGAGTGAAGCTGCATCCCAAAGGGAACACTGAAGAAGAGTTTGAGGATAGGATATAAAGAAACATGGGATTTTCAGAAACCAGGGTGTAGAAATTGTGGAGGAGATTGATCAACAGATCTGAAGATGGCTGAGAAATTTAAGAACTTGAACAAGTGACCATGAGACTTGATCAAGAAGAGGTCATTTGAAAGTTTAATGAGAGCAGGTTCATTGAAGTGAAGTGGGTAAGCAGAGTGCAGGGGACTGAAGAAAGAACTGGAAAAGAGAATTAGTGAATGGGAAAAGACCACTTACTTCAGGAGTTTGACGGCAAAGGGGAAGAGGGAGATGGGCAACAGTTGAGGCAAGTGGGAGCTGAGAGAAGATTTCTTTAGGAGACAGAAGACATGTACGTGCTTCAAGGAAGAGGTGAAGGAGCTAGAGAAGTGTGACTATACGGGTAGAAGAGGTAACTAAGGGCACGTCTACACTTCCCATGGATCGACACTTCTAGTGAAGACCCGCTAAATCAACCACAGATCGCTTTCCTGTCGACTCCAGTACTCCACCGGAACCAGAAGCATAAGGTAAGTCGACAGGAGAGTTTCTCTCATCAACCCAGCATGGTGTAGACACTGCAATAAGTCAATCTAAGCTACGTCGTAGCTGCGTAACTTACGTCGACTTAACTCCGTAGTGTAGACCTGCCCTAAGAGACATACGGTAAGATTAGAAGTACATCTGAGATTTCAGAGTACAAGATTAACAAAAGGATTAAAGTGTTGGAGTGGTGAATAGGGTAGGATGAAGACAGAGTTCCTAACATGTTTTGTAAATTTAGGAGGCAGGAAACTAGGTCTGGTCTTAGGCCAAAAAAAGGGAGGAACAAAGAAGATGGTTTGCCTTTCGGGGATAAAGACACTGAAGTTGAGATTGGTTTATTAGGATACATAATGTAAGCTTTTCCTAGTAAAACCCCTGGGTATTTTCTAGTATTTCAGATTCAAGCCCCCGCTCCATCTTGCATACACACACAACCTTTCTGTGAAATTTATAATTTCACTAATGCAACAAATAAAAGATGGTATTAAGAAGAGAACAGGCTGCAAATAATCGAGTTGTGCTTATATCAAGTGATATATCCAAATACATCTTGCTGGTAAAATACAAGATCATACCAAAAGTGAAATGGGAAACAATCTACAAAAATTGCACATGTCCAACTTTTCTGAAAACTATTCTCGTTATCAATCTATTCATTTTCCAGGAAACAGTCTTTCATTCACATGACAGCTAGTTGCTCAATAAAAACTTGTTTTTAAAAGAAGGAAAATTCCATTATCCAACACCTTTAATACAATATCTGTACAATACATATATTTTATATTTATTTTAAATGTGAGTGTGCATACACAGAAAAAAAGTTTCACTCCAAAAGACTGGGGGTTACGGTTATACAAAAGCAGTTTTTAAAGTTTTTTTTTTTTTTAAATTATGGTAAGTAATGGTTAGTTAATTTATTAACACAGAACAGACATTTTTCAGTCAACCATAATAATCCATAGCAGTTTCATCAATGGATCAACGTATATAAACACTACTACTGTTCTAGATAACCTAAATTCCCCTGTTGGCTTTACATACATAAAAAAAATCCTCATCTCAGAATACATAAATAATATGCTTGTAATTAGCAATGGGAGCACAATATCACCCTAGCTAACTACCTTTATAATGATGGCATCTGTTTCTAGTTAAGGCATATGGGGTGCAAGTTTGCTAAGAGTTGAGAACAAAAGATTTTTTCCAAATAAGTGTACTTTTCTGCAGATACCTACAAACAGCTCGTGCAAACCCTTACTCTTGTACATAATCCTATTGACATCAATTGGATTACACAACAGAGTAAGGATATGCAGACTAGGCTATCCCGTCTCCTGTCAAGAAGAGTGAGCTCTGTAGGGAAATTGAGGAAGTGACCTTTATGTGTAGCAATATATACCATGGGATGAAGGAAAGAATAGTTCTTTTACTAGAACCTGTTAAAATTGTAGATTATCACCAAGAGATTGTTCAAACCACAGTTCAATTATTAAATACAGATTTTATGGGATTAGTGATATTACTATTAAGAGAAATGAGACAAACGGTTAATAACAGCAAGGGAAAGGAAGTTCCATCTGAAGGAGGCATCCTAAACTTTAGTACACAGGGTTATTAAAGAAGAATTTTACCTCATTCTGTAATGTCATCATATAAGTTATTTTACATGGCTACTTTGCCTTTTACAGAAAATTAGTCTATTTAAATCGAATTCAAAACAGTTAAAATTGCAACAAACCAACTCTGTATTCTAGTGATATACAACACTTTATGAGCACTGTTTCATTTCAAATGCTATAAAAGTACTCTGAACATTCAAACTCCACCTCCACTTTCCCAACAAAAAATCCTTAAATTTTAAAATCTACTTAAGATAGCAAATTAATCACACCATTTACAAAACTCAAACAATTAAAACCAAAAAAAAAAAATGAAATGCGCTTGTGGGAAGTGTAAGATTTATGTCATCATAACACTTACCCAAAATAATAATTCTAACAGCTGTAAACTGCAAATAAACACACCACAACCCTCTTCTACAGTACCTATATAGGACATTGATCAGCCTCAAATGCAAGTCCACACAGATGCATACATTTTACCATAAATTAATACTGAACAGTTCTATTACATAGATGATTGCGGTTTCTCAAAAATATATAAATACTTTACAAAAAAATATTCTCAACAGCTGATAGATTAACTGATATTTCCCACCTAATCATGTATCTTACAAGAAAATATTTAGATAGCAGAATCAAGATAAAAATACATCAAATTAACCTATAGGTCAGAGTTAAATTTGTTGTGTTCAATGAAAGACAAATGGTTATTTGTTTTTTGTTTTTTTTAATTAAAGTGGATCAAAACAGGCTCACAAGTAGAGAAACCCTCCCATCTCTGAAAAACTCAGTGCTAATCATAAAAAAGGAAGAACCTTAAAAAGCCTTGCAAGTGAGGAGGGAAGATTGCAGTTAATGGCTTTCTTGGGGTGAGTCTAGTGAGGACACACTAGAAGGGAGCACTGTCTTAAGTACAAGCACATCCTGCGCAACCTTACTTCTACCGTACCAAAGAAGAAGGGGCAATCAGGTAAGTATAAGAGGGAGTAAACTTCAAGGCCACCGGAAAAGCCTGGTAGAGAGAGAGATGGAATTAAACTGCTACTGTGAATGCTAGTTATGGTAACAGTTTTTATACAACTTATTTTAAAAAGTCAGAGTAGGGAAATGTTGTAAAGGGCAAATTCTGAAGGAGAAAGACAAGACTCAAGGCAGGTTTTGCTTAAATGAAGGATAAGCAATGGAGTCTTATACTTCCTCCCTCCAAAAATACACTGCTGCCAACTCCTTTCCACATACACCCATGTAGCCTTAGCCAAAGATTAATCACTATGCAAATACTAAAAGAGAAGCTGAGCACGGAGTATCACAAACAGAAGGGCTATTGCTTCTACAGTTCCCCCCTTCTCTCCAAAATACTGTTTTTCCTAGATGTGGTATTTTCAAATTGAGATAGCAAAAACAGAATAGCACTATGGATCAGAATGGGTGAAGGAAACACTGCTTACCCTGAAGAAAGAAGATGAGAAAATAGACAAAGTACAGAGATGAGTCCTGGAGAAGGTGACCTGAATTACAGCAGTTCTTGGGGCGGTACCCATGGAGGGTTGCCCTCCAAGTACATAATTAGTGCCAAGCCTGAGAAAAGAAACACTGTTACTAAGTTAACGCAGCAAAGGGAGGTAGGAGTTAGGGAGGAGGGGCTGGAACCCAGGAGGTTAAATTTGGTTTATCTGAGTATAGACACAAAGATGGAAGAAGGAGGCTATCTCCATCCACACCTAAGTCCTGGTGAGGATCAAACAAAGTCATTATAGAGACATTATAGATCATCTCAAAGAATCTCTGTTTGGTAGAACAGTAAGGCCTAAATAATGTAGATTGCTTCCAGATAAAGACAGTTCTGCCTTAAGGATGACACAAAGCTGGATTTGTTTTTAAATAATTAAACCAAATACTTTTAGCCCCCAGACTTTGGGTTTCAATAAGGTACATGTTTTGTGCTGCTGATCACGTTAGGTACACCCCAATCTCATATGGTCAGAAGCTTGTATCCCTGCTGGTACATTCTGATCACTTTGATGACAATTTAACAGACTACGACATTACCGAAAGTGCAAGGGAGGACCAGAAATTAAAGGGATTAAGATTTCAAATCCCTAACAGAGTAAATGTAGTGATAGAAATACACTTACATTTTGTTATAGATTTGGGATCTTAAAGGAGTTTGTTTAAAAACAAAAACTTTGCTTTTTATCTTTAAGATCATGTAACATTGAAGAGCTCTGGCTGCTTGAGTTAGGCCTGGCTGGCACATGAGGCACACCTGGAAGAAAGCAGTAGATATAAAAAGAAGTGTTTAGGCTGGATGGCCCATTCTGAAACTAGAGGGGAAAAAAAGTTGTTAAATGAGAAGGGATGGGGGTTAAAACATTAAAAAAACATAATGGTGAAGAAAAGAATTGGAACAGCCTTTGCTCATAAACCAAATCATTGACCTCAGTTTCTCAGCCTCACAACAATTAACTAGGACTTTCATAATTAGTTTAGTAAGTCAGGAACAGTATAGCTCACCTCACCTCAATGACAAATGTTGCTATGATATGCCTTGATTTGCTTCAGTGGAAGTTACAAGGATTACATGATGCAACAAATTATTGATCATTGCAACTTTAAGGACAAACAGGTTTCAAAGCAAGAGGCTTTCAAGTTAATAGTACTGCTGTATCAGTGAATGCTTGCTATTGATTGTTCCTAGACAGACAGGCTCTGAGGAGTACTAATTATTTTACATTTATTGCATTATAAACTTGAGGTGCCACCTCAAGTTTTATTCAGCTTTTTAAGTGTTAAAGAGCAAAAATTCAATGTCAGTTCCCTAAAACTGGACAATCTTTGTAGACGTGCTAAATAAAAATTGTTTATCACACAGAGATATGGCTTATCTTAAAAAGAGATTACTTAAAATTAACACATTCAAGTGTGATCATTCCCCTAAAAGTAAATCTTAAAATGGGCCCAAAACTGTTCCCCATAACCCTCCAAATCGAGAGCTGCAACAGTTTTAAAATCCTAGTAACAAGGGCTCAGTGACCCAACAACAAACCCACCTTGCTGCATATTTTGGCAATGTGACTGACTGTATGACTATTCTATTTGATAGAGATAAGATGGGTGAGGTAATATTTTTTACTGGACCAACTCACGTTGGCAAAAGAGACAATCTTTGAGCTGCAGAGAGCTCTTCTTCAGTTCATTCAATTCTATTCTTCTGAACTGGCAAGAAGTGTGAAATGATAAGAACCTTGATCTTTCTCATGAAGAATAAAAAATCCTTTTTAATTTCTGTATTTTAGAACAGACTTATTTAACAGCAAATTGGTGTAACAATTTAACACATTTTGGTATGTATTCTTCTCCATCCCATAGAGTAAAAACACAGCACTGTTCATTTCACTGTTGCATCTCTGATGATTTCCTCCCCTATCTAATTTCTTCTGCTTCCCACCCAAACTCCTCCCTTCCCCAATCTGCAGTGTGGCCAACACATTTCCAGAACTGGAACAGAAGCAGGTTGTAGAAATGAGATCCCTTCAGGCATCTAATACGACTCAAAAGTCAAAATGTCATGAAGGACTCACAATCTTGACAGCCTAGAAAGCAAGAAACTAAACCCAGATCTTCAACAGAAGAGTGAAAAGCATTACTGATACGCCAATGGACTTGAAAGCTTATACACACACATATATATACATATCTATCTATCTATCTATATATATATATATATATACACACACACACATACACACACACACAAACTTAAATTTTGCATTCATTCCATTTACACTTCCCTGTACTGAGCTTTAGAGAATTTTGCCCAATAACTGAATATACTCTTGACTACCAGAGGCAAGAACTTACATTATTCTAAACACTGAGGCCTAGTTACTTAAACCCATTTAAGTTTAACTCAAACAATACATGCTTAAATACATATATTTCCCTAATGAGATAAAAGTAGCACAGAATATTTTACAAATTAAATAACTCTCTCTGAATATACATGTATCATACATACTGGAGCAGTTTCTAAGCCATTTTTCTCTTAAAGCATGATTCAGTTCCCACTACAGACAATAGAAAGTCTTGAGGGGGACTCCACGTCCAAATGTCTGGGTAGTTTAAGGGCAGGTCTGCCTTTGGGGGTACAGTTCTGCAAGGTGTGGATGATTTTCACATAACCCTCTCTCAGTCCACAAATCTAGCTCTCCATGGAAGATCTTCTATGGGGTTAGTGAGTAAGGAGATATTCCCAGAGGCAGTATTCTCTTTATTTGTTACTCCTAGGGGAATTTTGCACCACTGCACATGCACAGAATTCACGTCCCCCCCAGATTATTTTTCTCTGCAGAAAATGCATTCTGCCTCAGAGGCACTGCAGTTATGCCTTTCGTCCACCAGGGGCTGCAGTAGCATGAGAACAGAGGGTGGCCAGCTCACTGGCAATAGCAGCCAATAGGGAGGAGAGGCTGGGTTCCTCACACCCTGCCTGCCGGGCCAGGTGAGAAGGCATGGGATATGGGGTGGGTTGGGGGGGGGGGGACGAGACAGAGTGGGGCACATGGGGATACTGGGAGGTCACAGACTGGGGCTTAGAAGGGCTAGTGCCGGGGACAGAGTGGGGTGGGTGCTGAATGGGAGTGGGGATGAGGGTGGCGAGGTGCCTCACTGAATGGGAGACACTACGAGTCAGCCAGGGTCTGCACGGGGGAGGCTCCCCAACTCCCTAACAATCCCTCCCACCCCCCAAAAAACCTGTTCCATATTTCTCCCACCCACACCTAATAACCCTCCAGGTTCACTCCCAGGTTCCTTCCGAGCAATTACATCCCTCTTGCTCAGCTCCTCTGTTATCTCCGATTACCCCCAAGCCTTTGTACTGTTTCTGAGGGATGCGGGAAATATGTTTCTGTATTGTAGTTTAAATGAATTATTACTCAAAGTTATATATTAATATGCCTACTAAGTAATCTATTTGTCAAAAAAATTTCCTGAATCTTTTTTGTCTTCTATATTGTTACAGACATACCTGTTAGCAGGTATTTTGAAATAAATTACCAAAATAACTGAACTGGTATGATTATATTGTACTACTCTGGCAAATAAAATATGTAGAATTTTAAAATACTGTGTGCATAATTTTTAATTTTTTGGTGCAGAATTCCATCAGAAATAATCAGTGCCCTCCCCACCAGTATCCAACTGGGAGGAGAAATTATGGCCCTATGTATTTATGAAGGTTTATACAAACAGTCCTCTCCAACTGTGTGCTCCGGTGTATGGTGTCCTGGCAGGAAAATTGAATGGATGATCAGAAGCAGGATTGTTAAAAGTTAATTTTAAAAAGGTAGTTTACAACAAGTTATGGAAATCATGGATTACTTTGTCACTGATTACTATTATTTCTGCATTTTGGGTGCTGTATAGGATGACCATAGCTATGCTGATGCCATGGTACTACACACAGGACCAAAAATAAAAGAAACATTCTATAATAAAAGCAGTCCACATTTACTTTTTGGCCTACAGAGTAATCAAATTACTTCTAAGGATTGGGTTTTTTTCTTGCTTAAAAACTGTGACCGATCAGTTGCTTTAGTATCTTGACTCCAAACAATTAAGCTGAAGCAAAATATGTTGCATGTTTCCATTCAATTTCATAATGCTGCAATAATAACATAACATTTCTAAACACTTGGAGGTGTCAGTTGAAAAAAAAGTCACATTTATAATGTCAAAAGCTTCATTTATAAGTACAGCAGAACAGGCAACAGGAAAACCTTGGGAGCTGGAAACAGACCTACTCCATAACACAAACCAGCAGCAGGGAAACACTCAGAAATGCAGGAGCTTTATAGCCCTCCAGAGCTCTCAAAGGGAATGACTCAGGGCTGTATGGAGTCTAAACCCCCTCTCAAGTCACCGGTAAGATGAAGAGCACAGGTCCTTCACCCCACTCTTTACTTTTAGTCAATGCTCAAAGAGAAATGAAAAAGTCAAGTGCAGTCAAGGTACAACACAAGTCAAATACCACAATGTTAACAATCTACAGTCTGTTGCATCTTTACATTTCAAACATCCTGCATTTTAGACCTTCACTACACATTTCTGAGGTTCCTGCCTCAAACTTAGTCTTTCAGAGATTGAGCAATATGAACGCAATCAGTTATTAGGTTTTTCCCTTCATGGCCAAGCACCTGACCCAGTGCATCTACAACCCCCTCTACACTTCTGGATATTATATCCATTCCAAACACACCACATAAGGCTTTTCCTTCCTTCCCCCAAGTTCCATCCCTGGCCTGTGTCAGGAAAGGGATAGGCTGGAGAAGATACATTTCCCAACATATAAACTCGGAAATAAAACATCTGGTGGTATTTGGCCTTTACAAAAAGGATGAAATATGATAAGATATCAAGAATTAGCCAATTTTCTTTTAAAAAATTAAATATTGGGAATAAAAGACAGAAGGTGCTTTTGGAAAATGCACCTAAGCAACTTCAAAAGAATCTATAGGATTTGTGCACCTATTTGTGAGGGATTTTAGAAACACCCACCCAGAAGATTTTTGTGTTGCAGAGGAATAAAAAACTCTTAGGGGCTTTTCCTGTCACACAGATCACTTTGTTGGGGGGGAGAAAAAAGTTTGGGTAATCTCTATAGTAAAGAAAATGTCAAGAGCAACACCAGGAAGTCAAACTCTTAGGCCTCTCCAGCACCACTTTTTAAAAAAGGGGGAAAAGTATCATTCTTCGTATTTTAAGGACTGCATATGGGAAAATGATAAAAAAACAAAACGTAGCAATTCAATTTTTAGTAAAAGGTTAAATACTTACTGCGTAAGAGCCTATGAGGAATGCAGCATTTGCTTGTTTTTTCTGATCAAACCCAGTATAATGAATTATTTTCTTCCTTATCAATGTAAATGACTGCATCAAGAAATGAACAACAGTGTTATAATTTGGCACTTCGAACTTAAGCCTGCATAGCCTGATAAAAATAAGTTTGAAATCACTGCAGCAGAACAACCAACTACACACAGAAATTGGCCTCATTGGAAATAAGGTTTCCAAAATTAATTCCAATGGTTGCAATGCCTTTCTGGTTAAGATATGATCTAGTGTGTTATTCCATTTTCAATCCTGAGAAGTGCTCAGCATCCAGGCAGGGTAAGGATTTTAGTGTACTGGTTCATGACAAAGCATCAAATCTGTTGAAAACCTAGTTACACTGGACCATGTTAAGCCATTCTAAATAAGTGTGGCAGAGTGAACATTTTTACAAATTTCAAATGTAATTTTTAGGGCAGTCAGGCGACTAATTGCATTGTTAAACCATAACAGAATACCATTTATTTAAATATTTGTAGATGTTTTCTACATTTTCAAATCTATTGATTTCAGTTACAATACTGACCACAAAATGTACAGTGCTCAGTTTATATTTATTTTTGATTACAAATATTTGTGCTATAAAAACAAAAGAAATAGTATTTTTCAATTCACCTCATACAAGTATTGTAATGCAATCATCATGAAACTTGAACTTACAAATGTAAAATTATGTACAAAAAAAACCTGCATTCAAATATAAAACAAAGTAAAACTTTAGAGCCTACAAGTCCACTCAGTCCTACTTCTTGTTCAGCCAGTCACTCAGACAAACAAGTTTGTTTACATTTGCGGGAGATAATGTGCCTTCTTCTTGTTTACAGTGTCACCTGAAAGTGAGAACAGGCGTTCGTTCACATACCACTGTTGTAGCCAGTGCCGCAAGATACTTACGTGTCAGATGCACTAAAGATTCATATGTCCCTTCATGCTTCAGCCACCATTCCAGAGGACATGCGTCCATGCTGAAGATGGGTTCTGCTTGATAACGATCCAAAGCAGAGCGGACCGACGCATGTTCATTTTCATCATCTGAGTCAGATACCACCAGCAGATGGTTTATTTTCTTTTGTGGTAGTTCTGTAGTTTCCGTGTCTGAGTACTGCTCTTTTAAGACTTCTTAAAGCATGCTCAACACCTCATCCCTCTCAGATTTTGGAAGGCACTTCAGATTCTTAAAGTTTGGGCCGAGTGCTGTAGCTATCTTTAGAAATCTCACATTAATACCTTCTTTGCGTTTTGTCAAATCTGTAGTGAAAGTGTTCTTAAAACAAACGTGCTGGGTCATTATCCGAGACTGCTATAACATGAAATATACGGCAGAAAATGGGTAAAACAGGAGACATACAATTCTCCCCCAAGGATTTCAGTCACAAATTTAATTAATGCATCTTTTTTTTAAGGAGCGTCATCTGCATGGAAGCATGTCCCTGGAATGGTGGCCGAAGCATGAAGGGGCATATGAAGGTTTAGCATATCTGGCATGTAAATACCTTGCAATTGCAGCTACAAAAGTGCCACGCGAATGCCTGTTCTCACTTTCAGGTGACATTGTAAATAAGAAGCAGGCAGCATTATCTCCCGTAAATGTAAACAAACTCGTTTGTCTTAGTGATTGGCTGAACAAGTAGCAGCACTGAGTGGACATGTACGCTCTAAAGTTTTACATTGTTTTGTTTTTGAGTGCAGTTATGTAACAAAAAAAAATACCTACATTTGTAAGTTGCACTTTCACGATAAAGAAATTGCATTATGGTACTTGTATGAGGTGAATTGAAAAATACTATTTCTCTTATTTTTACAGTGCAAATATTTGTAATAAAAATAATAATATAAATGAGCTCTGTACACTGTGTGTTCCGTGTTGTAATTGAAATCAATATATTTGAAAATGTAGAAAACATCTAAAAATATTTAATAAATTGCAATTGGTATTCTATTGTTTAACAGTGTGATTAAAACTGTGATTATTTTTTTTAATCATGATTAATTTTTGTGAGTTAATCATGTGAGTTAACTGCAATTAATTGACAGCCCTACTATTTTTCATAATGAAAAATTATTAATTTTATGATGAAGGGAAAAGCTACTGTGTTCTTCAGTGGTATTTTCTTCAGTTATTTTAAATATTACAACACTGATATTAAATATGTGATATTGAAACATTAGAAAGTTGTAGTTATTTTAAAACAGACATACACAAGTAAATATTTTTCAAAAACTCCAAAAATTCAAACTTATGTTTCCACAACCAACCTTAACTCCTGTCCTGCATACCTGCCCAATCTCCTCCTCTCATCTAATGTGGTATTTGTATCCAGTGCCACCAGTTCATTCTCATTAGTCCCATCATTTTTCAGCATTAATGAACTTGTCTTTTCACAAGTTCCTGGCAGCTCACAATTTCTACTTGAGCTGAAACTCACGCTAAAATTCTGGCTGCATCCACCAGAGGCAGCTGTTGAGAGCCTGAGCTGCAGGCAATAGGCTGAAGTCCCAGCTACCACCAGCAGAGGCTGCTGCTCTAACTGCTGCCTTCAGAATCTTTACTTCTCTCTGCTTTTGCTGTCTGTGCAGAGCACAGGTGCAGCAATCCATGAGGACAGGCAAAGAAAAGGGGAGCTGGATCGGGACCAACAGGTAGCTTCTACCCACCAACAGTTAGCGTAGCAAAGGTGAGCAATGGGCAGGGGGAGAAAGGATCCAAGGAGTGTGTGTTACCCCATCCCCTTCTCTCCAGCCTGTCGGGAGTAGGCGTTAGCCAAGTTGCACTCTCTCCTCCTTTCTTTCTCCCACCGTCAAAATCCTATATGGAGGGACACTGTGTGTGAGCAATACATGAGGACAGAGGGAAGGAGAGGGAGCTGGGCATGGGCAATATCTCAGAGTTGCTAACTAACACTATTTTAATTGCAAGTCTTGGGATATATTAGGGGGTTCTCTTAAAGCTCCTTGAGTCTAAAAATTACATTAGACACTCAGCTTTCATTAAAAAAAAAAAGTTTCTAGGTGATGGAGAAAACCTTGAAAACATGAACCCTAAAGGCTCAAAGCCAGGAAACAAGAACAAACCACCCCAAATTTACTCATTAAAAACTCATGATGGGGGGGGGGCTGACTCATGATTTTTGAACACTTGGAATTAGCAATCCTGATATCCTGAAGGGAAGGGGGAGTCCAGAGAATGCACAGCATGAGACAGGGTAGTGCCCATTGGACAGTGGGAGCTGCAGGGAGCCTAGGACAATACCTTGGGAAGGGATTAGCCCCATCTATCAGCTAAAAAGAAAAGGAGGTCTCCCAATTTGTATTTATTACACATCAGGAATTCCAACCTGAAATATGCAAACACAAATAGGGGCAATTCCATCCACTATTTCAAATATCTGAGAAGAAACCATAAATCGAATGCAAGTTTAAAAAAATAATCTTGTTTTTTAAAACTAGTCACATGAATATTTTTGTCTGTCTCATGGTTTTAGAGCTTGTGGAGCTGGCAATACTGTGAATCTTATTAGGAAGTTACAAGTATGTGCTCTATTACAATCAGTAAGTATAACGGAAGTTGAATAATGTAGACTGGCTTCTTCAATTCAATGGAATCTGAGTATTTCGGCAAAATTTAAGTCTATCAGACCTTCTGAGACAGGACTTCTGCTGCTATTGCCCATGACTCAGAAGCAGGCACTGCTCCTCTCTCTTTTCCCACCTACACAAACATGTTCCCCAGTATTTCTTAAACTGACTAGCTAGAGGAGCCATTCCTCCCTCCCCTTCAGCAAAACTCTCACTCCAAGGAAAGTTTACAGACATTGGGGGCATAGAAAAGGATAACTGTATTGGCTCACATACTGATGGAGAATGCTGACAGTTTCTACTGGTGGCACTGCTGATAAATGCTACCAAGTCTAGAATGGGTATCTGAAGGAAATTTTAGGAAATTAAGATTATACTGCAGCCTCTACCCACCCTGAAAGTGAATGAAGGAAAACATGAACACTGCTAGAAATAAAAACTGAAACAGCAGCTCTGGGTGGCTGTTACTGGAGGATATGGGCAGGCAAGAAGCAACACCAGCAATGACAACAGGTGAGGTAGGAATTCTGGGATTTCCCCCATAAAGTTAGAAAAAGTAGCCATAACACAACAACTCCCATTACAAGTTCATATTTTGAAGGTATGCACTGCGAAGGAGGGTTCTAGAGAGTATCAGACCTTTAGCAATGTTTTTAAACTAGGACCCATATGAGAGATCAAAATAGCTATATGAAATTACTCCAACATTTTTCACTTACCAATCATAGTCCTGTACACTAGAGATAAAATTTTCATAAGCACCCCAGTCCCATTTTCAAAAGGGAGATGGCTAAGACAAATCCTAAGCCTGAGGGTCCTGGACAAGATTGTGGGTAAAATTTTCAAAATAGTCTACATTTTTACTGCAAGCTATTTCTGTGATATAGCTTGCTCAGAAACCTCAGAATAATCTTCAAAATATGAATTACATCCATATTTTTAAAGTCCTAAATCAGAAACCACTTGTGTTTGAATCACCTCAAATTTTGCTAAACCACCATCCAACTTCACGATACACCTTGTTTGGGGGAGACAAAACTGGATTTTCCAATAGAAAATTACAACCTTACTAATGAAGCGATGGTAATATGTTTTAAATGTGCACTACAAATGAACGATTTCTCTTATCAGCCCACAATGCTTAAAAGTGAAACAAGTCACTCAGATACCACTATGATCAGTGTAGAATGAGTTTTGCACTGAACATCCCTTTAAAACATCTAGCATGCAAGTATATTGCTCTCACAAACCAACCCATTTAAAAATAAATCACAATTTGGAAACTTCTGTGGAATAATTTTCAAACAAAATCAGAGCAAATTGTCATAGCTAACCAAATCTACACATTGTAGTGTATATGGCACAATGAATCTGAAGCAGACAGCTTGACACCAGTGCTAGACAGCAAGGAACATTCACAAAATGCCGAGATTTTCTGTTAAAGAAATATTGTATTGCATACTTCCAGTTTTCACAGTTCAATGTAGGGTTTCAAGATCTGACTAAAGGGCTCTTGAACAAGCAAAGAGCATATGAATTTTAGTAAGATTTTTATTTTCCTAACACATTTTGTACTCCAACCTCTGTTAGAGGTTGACAAACTTGCATTGGATAACTTGAATTGATATAGAAAATGTAAGGCTTCATTATTTTGATTCATAGAGATACTATAAAACATAACATCTACCAAGAGCCCAATTCTGAAAGGTACAGAGCTCCTCAGAGATAGCAAATTACCTCAACTGAAGGAGTAAGGGTGCTCAGTCACCTTGCAGGAGTGAGCCCTAAATATATTTTTAAAAAGCTAATGTGGCTCCCTACAGAAATGTTGTGAAGACCAAAAAATAAAAAAAATCAAACTAAAACAAATCAAACAGAAGCCAAATCAAATCAATATGTCTCTCATTGAGTCCTGAAACTCACTAGACCTTGGCAGATTTCCAAGGAGACTGAATTCCAGAGGAGGGGGCCTTCTACTGAAAGAGACCTTTGCCCACTAAGAGTTCTTCTAGTTGTTTCTATCAGCACCAATACTTAGAAACTGCACTTTCACAATAATTACTGTAGAACTACTATATCCTAAAGGCAAATAGTTCTCCTCTTACATCCCTCACTCTCTGTCTCTTCCCTCCACCCCACACACCCGCCTGAAAATATCATCTGGTCAAATCTGAGAACACAAATGTATACTGCATACAGTTTAGTGTACACATCCAAAAGCAAGCCTGAGTGGAAATCCACATATCAATTTGAAGATATTTCTCAAACAAGGAACATTTTTTCAACTCACCATTTTTACAAATGGGCTAATTCCAATATTTTATATCTATTTGGTACAAAACAGTTTTTACCTTTAATTTCTTATTTAGCTTGCAACAATATCTGTAAACCATTGCCAGATTGAGAGGTCCAAAATCTGCGTAGAAGCTTGTGGGGAGGGAAAGAAAGAAAACATTTTGCTTGTACATGTTTTGTAGAAATAATTTTAAAGAAATCCACATGCACCAAATGAAAACTAATAATTAATGCACACATTATACTAGGTACAAAACTTCTTGAAATTGCCATCTTGCATACCATAAGTATAGTTCTGTAGTTTTTCATCAGCTTTTAAAACGTTATTTTTAAAATTATTCTGCTTTCTTCTCTGCACAAGACCTCCTAAAAGGTCAATGAAATGATGCAGTGATCAAACTTTTGAAAGCTCACAGTAAGCTAACATTTTTTGGCATCACATTAGGAACTCTTGATTTTAACGACAATGCAAAAGCATGCCTTCAAAAACAAGGTTATTGACTAATTCCAAAATGCTTCTCCTGGCACTATGTTTAAAAGCTATCAGATTCACATTAAAATATTATTAATATATATATTACTCATTAATCCTCAAAGCACTCTAACACTATAGTGTATACAGAGCCCCACTGAAATACAGAAAACGAACAAAACATCACAATCTGAGTAAGGTGAGCATATAAATTTTTAACTAAAGATATCCTTATTTTTTTCAAAAGTACTGAGGGATCTTTAATATCCATGCAGGATGTCATAAAATAAATAATAAAAAAAATGTCAAGGATTTATCTGAAAGACCTATGCAGTTCACTGCAGAGTACTTAATGTATCTATGCTAGGGTCATGAAGTGCGGAGTCAGCAACTGCCAGGTTTTGACCCATCTATTATTCTAGGAAGTTTAGATATTTTACCCCTGGTATTTGGGCAACTAGAAACATCCCTTCTGGCTAAATATTTCAGTTAATGCTTCTAAATTTTTTGTATCTTGTTGTAAAGTATTCCAATATCTTTCAGTAGGAATAAGGTATAAGAAAGAAACAAAGTTTCTGAAATTTTTCAAGACAGAAATTGGTGGGGAGCCACTAGGCCCTCTCACGTATAAGCTCCCATTGCAAGTGAAATTAGCAGGGAGTAGTACACTAGTTTTGAGAATAAACTCCATACATAAACTTCTATAATCGGTACAGAAGTTTTAACTACCACTAATAAAAACAGACTAAGAACTACATCACTTGCTTATTAGTGCTTTTCTTACCAATTTACTGCAATGTTCTGTAGAATACAAGAATAAGGACTGTACTTACTTCTCGTATACAAGTTCATCATCTATGCAGAAATAGTGTGTATTTGGACCACCACTCTTTGGTTTTTGGCAGAGAATTGCAAAATAAAGGCGACCTGAAATGCAAGAGATTTTAAACTAATACTACCCTTAACATTACAAATTTCCACAGAAAACTTGAAATGATATTCTTAAATGTAATACTTTAAATGGTCACAATTTAGTATCAAATTTTCCTTTCAGGGTTTCCGGATTAGAGGACATTATTTTTCAGGTGCTAGGCAACAAGGAAGACAATGATTAAGCTCAAAGCCTACGTTTTGGTTACCAAACAGTTTAAAACTTACTTGTTATTAGTCAAAAGCTCTCTATGGTTTCCCTCCAGTAAACAAGTTGTTCAGAGGATAACCAGACTGCCCTCCCATAACTTGTTTGGGAGGCTTTGTGTGTGTTTACACACATATATATGTATGTCTATTGACTACTGCAGTTCAGAGAGGTGCAAACCTGGTTCTCCTTTGAAATCAGAGAACCAACCAACAGGCCACACGCACACACAAAAACATGACCTGGACACTTCTTATTATAGGAACCTAAAGCCAGATATTTTCAGTCTATTAGGAGTGTGTTGGTGAAGGTGGGAGGAGAGTGTACAAGTTACCAAAAGAGGAAAGTGAAGTACAGTAAAATGTGATAAACGACAAATAGAAAAAGAAGGTCTCAAGTTTGGATTCTTCCTGTGAGATTTCTTTGTTTGACAATGCACATGCATTTGTTACGCAATACGTGATTTACTTGTAATAACTTTTAACTAGCTTAGGTAAAATATCAACAGGCTGAAAAGGCCAAGAAATTACAGACTGCTGCTGTTTACTGCCTCCCAAATCCACATTACATTAATTCATAATAGTTCAAACAAAAGAAAACGCGTTTTGTTTCAAAGAAGCGAACGCTACAAAAGCGGTGCAGTAAAAGTTATGACGATGACATCGGCAGGATCTCCTTGTTCACATGCACGATTACAAACGAGTTTTGAAAACTTGTTTCTTTAACAAACCAAAAACAAAAAAAATCACTTAAACTGGCATTTTAAGTTGCTCACCTTTGATGAACTCCACAGAGGGGCGAGATTCCTTTCTGACGCTCATCGCTTACAAACACTGAAAAGGGGGCCAGCCCCCACAAGGTTACCGAGCCCGTAAACAGCCTGCTGTGTTTGTCACTGGAGTCTGACAACCCGGAGGAAACGAAAGCGCCACTCCCCGCAGAGTTTTAAAGATTAAAGGGCAGCCTCGCCTCGAGGCGCATCTAGATGCAGCGTGAGCCCCGGGGTGTCTGCCCTGGGCCCCGCTGGCCAGCCCGCCTCCCGCGCTCCTTCAGTAGGCACCACGACCAGAAGTGGGTCGCCAGCAGCTGGCGGGCTCGGCCCGCATCTGTCCTCTTCCTCGAGAGACACTTTCCAGCTCCGGAAGCTTCCTTACGGGCATTCAAACAGAAGCGTCCTCGGGCCCGAATGAGCCTGATGCGCCCACAAGACAAATCCCAGCCCTAGCTAGGGAGAAAACCAGAGCGCGGCGCGCAAGCCTCGGCAATCGCTGCCCCCACAAGCGGTGAGCGCAGAGCTCGCCAGCGAGTCCTCCCAATCGCAGCAGCCATTGGCCGGCAGGCGGCGCAGCCAGTGGGACACGGCAGGGCCCGAGCCGCTCCTCTCCGCGTACGGAGAAAACAACTCACCAGGGGAAGCTCCACCCCGCGGCGCCTCCGGCACCCGGGCGGCTGGTGCTTAGAAGGGACTGCGTTAGTGCCCGGGGAGCGCTGTCCTCTTCCCAGCGCAGGACAGCAGCGCGCTCCTTGAGTGTTATTTTTAAACGAGGGCCTGTGTTCCCACACTGTACGGTGTGACTATAGCCCCTCAATCAACCACCGCGCTACCAACTGGGCATCTGCCTGCAGCGCACGTACCAGTGTGGCGTGGCCCCTCTAGTGTTCCCTGCAAGCGGTGCGCTCAAAATCCTTAAGCCCAGGGCCTTGCAAACACAACAAAGGTGCGGCTATTGTTAAAGACACTAAGCTACTCATAAACCATTTTCGCTCCGCTCAAAATAGTGATGAGTGTCCAAAAAGAAACAAGAAAACCCCAATTCCTTGGTTTGAGGGTGGGCTTTGTGACTCACGTTGCTCTTCAGTGGCCACCTGAAGGAGCAGCATCGACAGGTTATAAAAAGACCTGCCCGTTCCCCCATGCTAGAGAGGAAGAGTTGCTCCAGTTCCTAACTTTTTCTGGGAGTGGCAGGACTAAACTACACTCCCAGAAGAGTGGAAGGAAAAGTGAAAGGGAAGAGCCATGTCGGAATTGGGAGAAGGGGCGGGGAGAAAAGGAGAAATAGAAAAACAAAATGCAAGAGTTAAAGCACTAAGGGTCTTTAAGCGGAGCGGCGGCGGATGGAATTGACTGACGGGTTGGAGTTCAGTAGTTCGATTTCATAGTTATTTTGAGTTTAACCCCTGTAAATTTTCGCCCATTCGAAAAAGCATGGTGTGCCAATACACAAAAAAAGAAATCCCTGAGAGTTACGTGAGTAGCATCTATTTAAAAATAAAAATATGCATGCCTACATCTTTTTTCACATTTGTATGGTTATTTTAGAAACAGGCAACATGCAATTGCCACTCATTAATATCTGAATTTGTTTTATATTGGTGCTATAATAGTATCAAAATGAACTTCAAATTTTTAGTAAGTAGCAGCTGTATGTTGCATTGCTGCTGGTAATGAGGCCATAAAAACTGTAACTTGCAGCAGTATACCAATTACTTTTTTTTTTTGAAAAACAACACTGTAAAATTCTATAACATACAGATAAAATTTGAGCCCGAATGATGGAATTTATTTAGTGCTGTGTTAACATGCATGAAATTGACAGATTTATTGCAATATTAAAATAGATCTCTAAACAAGTGTAAATGCATAATTTTTCATAAATTACACTACTTCTCTTGTATTCTCCCTTCCTCAAAGATTCTGCTCATTCAATTATTACATCTTGAGATAAAAATCTTGAAATCTTTAGCTGTGTTGTGAAACTGCACTACTAAAGGAATGTATAAGCCAACATTTGACCCTAGAGTACAAAGGTAGCCCCAGTATTTTTGATCCTCAAGTAAAATAGTGAAATGTACAAATGTGCAGCAAAGCGCTATTCCAGAATAGCATATGCATTTTTAAACACTGGCCATATATAAATGACAAGTCATTTTTTTGATATCTTCAAGCCAAAAGAGTTAAAATGTTCAAAAATATTCATGTGATTTAGGAGCCTATGGGCCAGATTAAAAAATATATTTAAGTGCCTAAAGATGCAATAGGCATCTAGCAAGATTCACAAAAGATTGAGGTGATGATGTCTCTCTTGAAAATGTCACCCAAAAAGTGTGTACACTCGAGGAGAAAGAATATGAAGATATGATGCAAAATACAAATTTTGCCACTCTTGCACATGTAGGCCAAATGTTTAGTGTAGTTTAATAACTTTTGCTTCATAACTGATTTGCAGTAAAGTAACGGGTTTTATCAGGATTTGTTTCACTCAGCCAAGATTTTTTGCAGTGCTCAGACCCATATGTTTGCATACTAATATCACAGGTATTAATCAATGCTTAAAAGAATATTTTACAATTGCACTAAAACTTTGCAGAGTATCTGTTTCACTCAGCTTTAGAATTTATTTTAAAACTACAAAATCCAAAGGATTTAGTTTTCTCATTCATGATGATAATCCACAGACATAGTTAGAATTCTTGACTAGTACAGCATAATTTTTAATTCAATTAGTTTGCAAAGCTTAGTTGGCACTGCAGCCAAAACTTATTGATTAGACTGAAACAGCCTCTGTTCTCTTACATCCACTCGTTCTCTCAAACATTTGTTTCTAGATTAATCAGTTCAATTTATTGATGCATAAAGAATGAATTTATTAAAAAAAAAAACTAAAAAACCAAACAGCCACCAACCAACCACACTAATAACCAACAAAAAAGGAATAATGTAGGATTTTCTCAAGCAAAATAGAAGCTTCCAGACAAAATTTTCCAAAAAACAGGTGTTTTAAATTAGGTTCTTGGAGTATGTATTTAGAAAATAAGGATAAGTTTTTAAAGGGCGCCTATAGGAGTTAGGTGTCCAAATCCTGCAGAAAGTCAGTGAGCATTATGTGCCTAACTCTCTTAGGCCTCTTTGAAAATCCCACCCTAAATAAGTGATTTGGCATTTCTGAAAATCAAATAACTTGTTTAGGTCTATAAATATGAACTGACGAGCCTAACTTTAGGCATCTGTGTTTGAAAATGTGGGTCTTTCATTTTGAAACACAAGAACTAAGGGACACCAAATAAAATTAATAGGCAGCAGGTTTAAAACAAACCAAAGGAAGTATTTTTTCACACAACGCACAGTCAACCTGTGGAACTCCTTACCAGAGGTTGTTGTGAAGGCCAAGACTATAACAGGGTTCAAAAAAGAAATAAATTCATGGAGAATCAATGGCTATTCACCAGGATAGACAGGGATGGTGTCCCTAGCCTCTGTTTGCCAGAAGCTGGGAATGGGTAACAGTGGATGGATGACTTGATGATTACCTGTTCTGTTCATTCCCTCCGGGGCACCTGGCATTGGCCACTGTCGGAAGACAGGATACTGGGCTAGATGGACCTTTGGTCCAACCCAGTATGGCCATTCTTATGTTCTTATGAAACAAACCCTTAGGTTAGCCTGGAAAAAAATCCACTGTCAAATGTTGATCACATTCTTTTAAAGTACTTACATCTTCCATAAGTTATGCTAAATGTCAACTTTGGGGAAGATACAATTTGTACCAATAAAAGAGTGCTTTTGCAGGTATAACTTATACTACTAGTTTCCTGAATTAAATATACAACTTTTTTTACTGGTATAACTGCATCTAGGAAGTTGCTCGCATAGCTAAGTCAGTCAAGGATGAGGGAAAAATAAGTTACCCTGACTGACATAGTTATGCCAGCAAAAGTTAATGTACAATGACCGTCCAATCTACCCTTAAAGGGGGGGACGGGACTTTTTGTCTTATTTAAATGGAGTCATTTCGAGTGTTAAGCCTAAACTAACTCATAATATGTTAATTCTAAACTTTGTGTTCATACCACAAACAATTCCAAAAGAAAGATTGACTGGAGAGTCTCTAATATTGGCATTACAAAATGCTGTTTTTCTTACTGAACACAGTGTAAGCAGCTTCTGACAACCTATAAAAAAATAGAGTATTTGGCTGGCTTAGCTTTTCCCCTTTATGTCCATTCAAGAAAAGGACTCAATGATTTGTTTAAACCACAGATTTTTACGTTTCAAATAATTAAAATCATCTAATAGTAGTGCAAAATAAAGTAGAAAGAGCAGCTTAATAGTCCGTGTACATTGTTCATCCAAAATCTGAATCCCATTTCACACTTACTCAGTTTAATGGAATTCAGATTATGGGTGAACAATATGGATGGACTATTAAATGGCTATTACCCCTTTATTATTCATTGCTATCTTTGGATCATTTTAATTGTTGCTATATTCAGAACAGCTGAATACATTTAAGAAATGCAAGCTTAATATTCTTAATTTACACATCAGCCTAAAAATAAAACCTGTGTGTATTAAATGCCATCACCCAGAGAAGCTGTCAGTACTCACAACAACTGATCTGCAATAAAACTGCAAATAAACTCCATATTTTTAAGGTATTCCCTACTGGGAAATTTAAGAAAGGAATATAAAATGAAGTAATTTCAGAACAGAATTAGGTTATTTACTTTTGCCTACTCAGATTGCTATTTCACTACAATGCTGAGTATTTTGGCCTCAATGACAGTGTGAGCAGGATGAGAAACTACTCAACAGAACTATTTTATTCAGGTTGCCTCAAAAGCATTTCTGGCTCTGTTTTACGATAACCAAGTATTAACCTGTTACAGTTTTAAACAGCACTATTATATACACTATGAAATGATTACAACTGAAATTAAGTCAGTGGGGCTCTGTAAGGGTCCTGGATTGCAGGAGAAGGACTTATGTTTTCTTCCACTTATTTAAATAAAAGTTGTGCATCTTAAAGTTAAAAGCCATGCATTTTGTTTTATTTACAACAAATTTGAAAACTATTTTTCATATACATCATTTCAATAGAAAAGAAAGTTATAGTGATGAAAAACAAAGCTTAATTTTACACTAGCAGAAGCTAAGGGGAGCTTGCTAATCCTGTGTCAGAGGGATGGAAGAGTAGGGCTGGTTGCCTCACAGAAGGAAGTATTTCTTGTCTCTACAAGCAGGCAATGAGCTGTGAAAATATCTATGCAGGGTATCAGCAGGATACCAGCAGCTTCAGCTTCATGATCTTATTTACCTGATTCTGGAAAAGGAATGAATAGCACCTCCTAAAAATATTCTCCTTTCCATCACTCACAACAGTCCTGATGTCTCTAGGGCTCTGCAAGTCAAAGTCTTTATAGACAGAACTTTGAATTCAAAAGGCAGCTAATACACAGCAGCACTTTAATATCAGACAGCAAGTAAACATGCCCGTTCTTATCAGAGAGACTATTCTGGTGTCTGAAGAGTGAAGATTCATTTTGTCAAAAGAACAAGTGTAAGTTCTTGAACTTGATGGTAAGGCAGTTAACAAGTCCCTCAGAAGATAAATGCATAAGAGACTGCATTTATATAAAAAGATATTACAGACTTCAACAAACCTTAAATTATTTGAATATGAAATGGTCTCGCTCATACTGAATTATAAAGAATATTATCCTGGAGGTCTTCATGCCTTGAATATTGTTGATAAGAATGGTTTGGGTTGGCTTGACTGCACTGCATATGCCAAATAAAGAACATAGAGTAATTTGCTGTACTAGTAGTAAGTGTTTTATAGATCTGAGTTATGTACACAATATTTATTAAAAGTAAAGGTTCAGAGAATCCAAACAATTCTTTCTAAACCTAGCAGTTATCAAAAAGATGCAATAGATAACATACAGGTATAACACTATGTGATGCCAAAGTAATATACACCTCTACCCCGATATAACGCTGTCCTTGGGAGCCAAAAAATCTTACCGCATTATAGGTGAAACCGCATTATATCGAACTTGCTTTGATCCGCCGGAGCGCTGCTTTGCCGCGTTATATCCGAATTCGTGTTATATCAGGTCACGTTATATCGGGGTAGAGGTGTACATAAAACTGAAGTTTTTCAATCAGTCATATTATAAAGAACTCACTCATCACTGCAGAAATCAAAGCCAAGAGATGATAAAACTGGTGACCATGATAGAAACCAAGTATCAGCATACTTTCTGAACAAGAGTATGAGGACACAGGTTAAAATTAAATATAAAGTTAAAGACATTGTTTGAAAATAAGTAGGGTTTTTTTCCAGACTGATCATATCTGTTCCACAATCATGGCCCTACTTTCCCTAAAATAATATATAGTCCCTGTTCTCTACTGCTCCCATGTAATGTAGACATGTAAATCTGAAAGAACAGAGTTCCCACGCTTTCAGTACTGGATTAGACAACAAAAGCCTTAACCAGTTTCTCAAACCAAGGAAGATTTTGAAAGAGTCATAAGAAAATTAGGTCATGCTGATAAATGATTACATACTTCTCCTGTAATGAGA